ATTCCTTGTACTCCACTTTGTCCTTGTCAGTCTCTATTCTCTCTCTTTTTCCCACTACTCCATTTATCCGTCTGTCCGTCCATCCATCCATCCATCCATCCATCCATCCATCCATCCATCCATCCATCCATCCATCCACTCCTCCATCCACTCAACCCCTTCATACTCCTTGAACCCATCCCTCCAGTTCGCCCTTCTCCTTCTTGGTTGCTATCTTTTCTGTGGCATTCCGACTGCCGTGCCGTTGGTGGCCGCTTGTTGCGTGTGGGTGGGAGAGAGACAGAGCGCTCTGCCGCGGGGGTGGGGGAGGGGCGGCAAGCAGAAGAGGAACAAGAAGAGAGCGGGGATGGGGGAGGGTGACCTTGAACACGGTGGGCTGGTGGCGACCTTTCGTCGTCCCGGTCCTTCCCTACTGTACTAGTACAGCCCGCCCCTCGGCCCGACCTCGCCCACCACCCGTTCAGGCTGCTCGCCCACCACTGCTAGTCGCCCAACTCAATTTCGTCCTTGGCATTGCTCATCTTTTCGTCCACGTGACTTCTCCCACTTCGTCATTTCCTAAACGGCCTTCCTTCCTCCAGCTCCTATAATGTAAATGTTTCCTTCATCCCTTACTTGGCGTCCATTTTAACTCTTACTCCTTCCGCGTCGCAAACAATCTACCCTCCCACACTGCCGCCTTCGCTCGCTCCTCCCACCCTCCACCTCTCATCCTTCCCACCACCATCCTCCGACTGCAGCATAGAACAGAGAGCTAGCAGAAGGCCGCATCCCGGTCACCTCGGTTTGTTTCTGCTGAAGGAGAGGTCCTGAATTACATTACGTAACGGGCAAGCGAAGGGCAGGCAGGGCAGGGGTCGAGGAGGACACGGCCACAGAGCGGGGGCCCGCTCTCGTGCCCAACAAGTCGTGGCGGGCATTCCGAGAACCGAAAGTCGAGGTACTCGCAATCTGTCTCGTGCAACAGAGCGCCAACGGCCCCGGCGCTCGTCCCGATCCGCCGCAAACCCTTCCGTGCCCTTCAGCCGCCCGCGCCATCCCTCTGGGTCCGCCCCTCCCCCCCC